AAGAGACAAACTCTTAAAAGTGCTAAAGAAATATTTAAAGAGGATAAATCATTAATATTTCAAGAAAAATTAGGTGGCACTTCTATTCAAAATAGAGATTATTTATTAAAAACTTATGATCGGTGTAAAAAACACTCAAATTGTCGATGTGATTTTTTTGATATAAATCAAAAATGTGATAAATATGATTCAACTTGTGAACGAAAAATTGCAGCTTGGGGAAGAGGTACTTTACCAAAAGAAGTAGTTGGACCATTTGAATTTGGAGAATTTAGAGAAATCAAAAAAAGTTTTACCAAAGCTTGTAGAGAAAAAAAAGATATAAAAGAACTAAAGCTTGAAGAACATCAAGGAGATTTAGACAGTAACGAAATGTTAGAAGAAGGAAAAACACCACTTGAAATATTTAGAGAAAATAAAAATAAAATTCCATATTGTAAAAGTTATAAGACAATAATAAAAATTTATAATGATTTACAAAAAGAAAAACAAAAAGAAAAAGGTAGTCAATTTTGGCGTTCTGTAACTTTTTATTTTTACGGTCCAGGAGGAAGTAGAAAATCTGGTCTTGTAACTGAATTATTTAGAGATCAGTTATATGCTGATAAACTAAAAAAACAATGAAGCAATTGGTGGAATGGTTATTATGGTCAAGAAATGGTTCTTTTAGATGAGTTTTATACGAAAATTGATTGGAATGATATAGTAAATCTTTTTAATGATACACCATATTATGTGGAGATAAAATCAAAAGGATTCAAACCATTTTTAGCAAAATATATTTTTTTAATAGCAAGAAAACCTTCAGAAGAAGCTTATAATTTTGGTAAAACACAAATAATGAGGAATCAATCCAAAGAGACTGGAATCAATTTGAACGATGTTTAGATTATATTATTGAATTTACTGGTAAATGGGATGATGATATTGAAAAATGTACAACAGAAATTATATTTCACAAAGGTGATGAAGAAAAGTTTCATAATTTTAAATGGGATGTGAAATATCGTAATGGAGAAAATACAATACAAGAATTGATAGAAAAAAGCAAAAAAATAAATGGAAATAATGGTGAACATATAATTGATGACAAAAAAGTTTATTGGTGTAAAAATTTTCCAGAATTTAAGAAAAATTATTTGAGAGATTATCCAAATTGTAAGGAACTTTTTGAATATCGAGAAGAATTAGAAGAAAAAAGTCAACAAAATATTAAAGATAA